AAAAACATAGTTTATTTGACATTTCTCAATACTTAATTAAAACTTAAAATGTTTCTTAATGTACTTATTTAAATCTTAAAATATTACAACATATTTTAACATTTTTAGAGTAATGATAAAAACCAGTTTTCGTACAGTAATTAAAAAAAAAGAATTCAAAAAAGTTTGCTTTTATTTGACATCTTTTTGCTTCTTGTCTCGCTACCAATCAAATTACATAGCTAAAAATAAAAAATGTTATTTGGGATTATCGCTTGATTTCTTTTTTCCCGCGTTATTTATAAAGAAATTTAAAAAATAATTGTGACTGAAGTGAAATAAAAGTTATTTAAATCTAATTTGTTACACACATGAAATTTAGTGTTTTTTTTAAAAAAAAAAATTAAAATCAAGTTTAGGAGAGATATTCGAACCGTGTACGTACTCACTATCTTTAACACCCCCTCCTCCTTGTATGCTTTTGGGAAACCCCCTCCCCCATACCTGTGTAAGTACTTTAAAAAAATATAGAAAATATTAGGTTACTGTTACTTAAGTTTTATATGGGATGACTTCTAAAAAAAAAAATTAATCAAATTATTTTGAATTCTTTTGATTTCCCATATAAAAGTTTGTGTTTACCAAAGAAGTTTACTAAAATAAGGGGCAGAAAAAATAGTTCCACTTAATAAAGTTCGAGTTCTACAAAGTTGGACTTAATCAGAGAATTTAAAAGTAATCAATAAGATGATTTCAAGGGACCAAATGAAACAGTTTGAGATAACAAAAGTTCGAGTTAGCCAAGGTTCGACTTACCGGGAATTAACTGTATTTGAGTTTTGTTTAGTATTTGTAATCGCTCTATTTAAAGCAATTTTAGTTTTATCCATTTCTTAGTTTAAAATTAAGTTAAAAAGAAATTTATAATATTTGTTGTAACATTACATAATGATATTTTATGTTTTACTATTGTGATATGCTTTCAAAATATATATTGCCTAGTGTTGAAGGAATTCATAATGTCTGAAGAAAACATGAAGGGGCCAGATACAAATTGCACTATTACATCTCCTATGCAAGAACTGTCATTTCATCAACTTCTCTTAGCTCTGTCTAAAAGTTAGCATGATAGTTCTAAAATTTTGCGAGAATGTTCCATTCTCGAAAAATTTTAGAATTATCATGGCAACTTTTAAATATTTTAGACTAAGGAAAAATTAATATGTACTAAGTATTTTTCTAAATATATAAAAAATTTTAGGTGATCAAATATTTTAAATATAAGAAATTGCAAAATAAAGTATAAAATACTTTTATATCTTATTTAAATCTTATTCAATATTTTCTTATAAATTAAATACTTGTAATTCTTTTGCAGATACAAAATTTAATACAAAGCTTAAAAATATATAAAAACTAAAAGTTGGCATGATAATTCTAAAGTTTTGTGGGAATTGGACACCCTATACTCTTCCTTTACTGTTTACTGTCTTTTATTAGCTCTGCTCTTTATTACTGCATTTTAGTGTTATGATCAAAACTAAAATTAATAAAGTTAACTAAAAAAACTGTTATTAAAATTAGTGGACTAATTTTTTAGTTCTACTATAATTAGTTGTCTATATAATTAACTAACTTTTTGGTAAATTTTAATAAGCTAACTTTTTGGTTAAACTGAAAATCTTTTATGACTTTAATGTATTAATTAATTAAAAAAACATTAAATAACAAAACAATTTTATTTGACTAATTTTTGTTAAACTAACACTCCCATCCCCACTGCATTTTTTTTCCTTTTCTACTAATAATTTTTTTATATAATTTAATAATTTCTTTAGTTTTTTCTGGCTTTGCAACTGATGCTACTAGTTCAACTTTTAATGGCTTTGTCAGTACCGGGCTTTTCTTGGAAAATAATTTGGGCTGCGGTACCCCCTGTGGAGATCTGTGCTGTACAAATACATTGATCGAAACATTGTTGAATTTTTGTGGCATTTTTGTGCGAAAAAAAATGTTAAAAAGTCCTCTACTTCTGAGTTAAGTTAAAAACTTGCACAAATATGTTCAATGCTGTCAAAAAGGGTCTAGAATAGCTTCTGACCATTGCAACTTTATTTTTTGCTGGCTGTCACTACTGATACTGCGAACGGGTGTCTCAAAAAGAATGTCTTATTTTTATTTTAGTCTGATCAAAAATTGGTGGTATAGGACTGATTTTTTTTTTCCTCTCTATAAAGGCTTATGTTTGATTTTGTCAAATAGCCAGTTTAGTTCATTTTAGCTAATGAAAAGTATTTACTTAAAAAAAAGTAGCAATTTTTAAGTACCAAAAAGATGACACAGCATGGTTCAGTTACTCTTTGTTACAGTCCAAAGTCAAAAATGATTAAGAATATTCATGTTATTTATTTTCACTGCTCACCATGTTGGTTTTTTTCCTTTCAAATCAGGAGTCCTTTTTGGGACTCCGCATTTCAACTTCAAAGATTTAATTCATTAAACTCGTTTGAAATAGCAAAAAAAGGATCACTACTTATTGATAGTTGCAAGATAAATCGTTAAGTACAAAATTGATATCCTACAGATAATGTATCTAACTCCAAAGCATTGCATCAAACATTTCTAGAAAATGTCTTAGTATTATGGTAGATAAAACATAGATTAGTCTAATAATACTGAGCAAATGGCAACTTGATTTCAATATCTAGATAAAGATGTACTGGAATCTTCATATAGATTGATGGATTTTTCAGTATGGAAACAGTGTAGGTTCTTGGACTTTAAAGTATAGAAAATGCTCTGAATGCTGTTTGTGAAATTACAAGATTGATAAGAAAAATCTCCTAAATGTTAATCTATTTTTAAAAAGGTAAAACACTCCTACCTGGGACACCTGGTATTAGCATGCTGGACGGTACGAGCTGAATCTTTTTATTCTAGCTGATACAAAGGACAGTAAGATGGATGAATGGGGGGAGTCACAGCAGAAATTCCTTTTCTTGTTTTGAATTGAACTGGGCAAAACTATTTTAGGCATAATAGATGATTTATCATAAAGTTTGTATAAATCAGTGCTTTTAGCTTGTAAAAGTTAGTCTTTATAAGAATTTTGGTCATGTTGAATTAAGTATACGGCCTAAAAATTTATTTTTCTTATTTTAAAATCATCTTAAAATCAAAATCATTTCTTCCATTGTAAAAATCTACATTGCCTTGTCGTTGCAAAGCACCTTGTTGTTTTAAAATTTGAGCATTACAGTTAGTAATACCTGAGGATTCTAATTTTGATTTTTTCAAGAAGATATGTTTTAACTGAGAATTGCCAATATCGGGTAGACATGATAAAATCTGGACTTTAAATTAAAATTTCTCTAAAACCATGAAAAAAATTTTGTTTCAAACTTTTAAAATTAAATGTGTATACAATATTTTTATTTTAAAGGTCTGTTTAAAAAATTTGTCTGAAGCAAAACTATGCATGTTTGCTTAATTATTTTTTCCTTCCTTTTCTTTGAGAAAAGGATGACCGTAAGAGGATAAATTGCTTTAGCGGATTGAATTTTTAGCAGATTTTTAGGTTTTTTTAAACACTTATTGATCATCTTTTCTGAAGGGAGTGACAAAGATGATTAACAGTATTTAAAATTTTTCTTAATTTTTCTATTGCAGTAAGACCATAAGTCATTATGTTAATCAAGATTTAAATTGAAATCTTGAAGCTTTTTTTATAACCATTTTAAATATTTTCTCTACTGGCATAGAACTATTAATTGCCCATAGAATGAACTTGTCTTTTTTTTTGTATGCAAATTTGAACACATACCATCAATAGTTATTTGAAGACTATTCATCCACTTTTTTCTGTTTAATTCATCACCAATACTGAACTTGCACTTTATTTATATTTCTTGAAATTTTTAAGTTTTGTGCTGACCAACCATTCGTGATATCAATACTTTTCTCTAACTTAAAAAAGTCAGTCAAGTAAGTTTTTATGTGAATTAATCTTGGTTTTAAGACAAAATATAATTAACATTTGGCTACTCTTTTTCTAAACTGATTCTTGTTTTTTAAGTCCAAACGTTTTTTAATTTTGATATTTTCAAAATAATAAAGCATTGAGCTTGTTGCAGCACTATGAGAACATTTAGAGTCAGAACAAGTTGAGTCAGATGCATCTTGTGTTTGGAATCAAGATTATTAATAAGTCTGTCAATTTCTTTGGATAATTTATTACCTTGCAATTTATTATTAATTTACAACTTTTTTTTAGTTAGAGCAACTCCTTTTTCAATGTGCTGTATTAATATAGCAATTAAGCTAAGTTTATTAAGATAAGTTTACTAAGATAAGTTTATTAATATATACTTTCTTATAGTGTGTAACAACCTATATTGAAGCAGGAGCTGATCCAGCATTTTTAGAATTTGAGATAAATAATTTCCAAACATAGAGCCAACTCCAAACATTAATGTTGATACTTATGTCAAATAAATACGCTTTGCAAAAATATTTCCATCATTAGAGACTGGTAATATTAAGTACGTACACCAAAATTTTAGAAATTTGACCTCCCCTTTTGTCATGCATATATTTTAGTTTCCACAACCATCTTCCCCCACACCCCCACCCCACACACAAATTTTAATAAAGTTAATTTATAAATTTGTATGAAAGTTTGTTCGGCCGAAAGGTTGACGTGATCTAATCACAGTCAAGTTATAAATTACTTTTTATATTTTTTTAAAAATTGGTTTTAATGATGAATCAAACAAAAATTAACTATACGTTTTTTTTTTAGGCACCCCTCTCAAGTAAGTCCGTAAAAAACGAGAGGTAATATTGAAAACAAAGCCTAAAGCCTGTTTTTTGCAGACTCAAAAAAGGGTTTTCTGAAATAAAAGTCTAACTTACTCAGGGCCGGTGTATAAGGGGTAGCATGTGTGTGCTTAGGGGGACACTATAACCTCCCTCCTCTATACCATACATTCTTTTATGTTTGCAACTTTTCTATTTGTTAGCCGGCGAATTATGGACAGCAATGAGACGGTATGGTTTTATTTATTTATTTTTAAAAGTTGTTATTTATTCTAAACATTTAGTTATAAACAAATACTTGTTAATTGTGATAAATTAGAAAAAGAAACTTTACGAGGCATTTTTTTTTTAAAATAGTGTGTACGTACTTTTATATTGTTCCCTCCCCTCCTCTCTCCATACACTTTCGTATGCTATTTAAAGATCCCCCCTTCCTCTCTCTCTCTTTCTCTCTCATATGAGCGTACGTACTTTATGGGCGGCTCCTAAGTATAAACATATAAATGTATCATCCCCTGAATTGACGATATCTTAATAGTTGTATTAGAATATTAACTAACTAAACAATGATAGGTTTGCTAATAATGCATATTGAAATAAACTATACAATCTTGAATAGAGAACAACAGTTTCATGATTAATATTGCTAAGTTCTTCATTTCTAATAACAGCAATTGCAAAACATTTTTTTTTTTTGAGTTGGAAAAATTTAAAATACCGGCAACATACCGGTTTTATAATGACTTTCGGTATTTCAAAGTTTTTCAAAAATGGAGAATTTAAATGTTTATTCGTGCTCAACTTACGCTTGACGCGTCTGCAATTTATAATTCGTCTACAAATGTTTGTTTTTTTTTTTTTTAGTATTGAAGAAAGGACAATCGGTGAGCGCATATTATCGTGTATTACATTTAAATGGAGGGTGGCTATGGTTACAAACTATCGGAAATGTAGTCTATTTAGAATCAAATGGTCAACCACAATATATCTTTTGCATGCATACTGTAGTGAGGTATTATGTCAAAATAAAACATCTTTTCCCACAAAATACTGCTTACCTAAACCCTAATCTATTTCATTTTGATGTAAAAATAAAGTTGAGTTATTTATGCACAAAATATTTTTATAGGTTTTTATTATTTACATATATATATATATATATATATATATATATATATATATATATATATATATATATATATATATATATATACACACGCACAGCGCTCGAAATAGTTTTTCAAAGCTTGCCTATCAAATGTAATTTTTTCACAAAAACAAGTTATTTTCCCGCGAATTTTTCGAAATTTCCCTAAAAGTAGCCGATCGTTGATCGGTCGTTATTTCGAGCGCTATATATATATATATATATATATATATATATATATATATATATATATATATATATATGTATATATATATATATATATATATATATATATATATATATATATATATATATATATATATATTGAATTTTTTCTGCAAAGTAGTTTTTTATTTTGCAGTGGTCTCGAGGCTGAAGGAACTGTATTATCTACAAAACAACTCGATGTTTCTGTGAAGCGCAAGCACGAAATCAACAATGTGAACGTTAAAAAAAGTTCAATTAAAGAAATAAAGGTTAGCAATACGGATCTAGAGAGTTATGTGCCAGTAAAGATATTCAAAGAAAAAGTTGTCGAAAAAAGTAATCCTCATTATTTGCCTGATTCTCCGCGACCGCCGCCGCCACCACAACTTTCTAACAATATGGATGATGAACTTTCTGACAGTGATATTCCAGACCTTGAGTTTCTTGACTACGATGATGTGGGTGTACCATTAACAGAAAATTTCGTTTTTGATAGATCGCCATATGTTCCATCCCCAATGGCGGATGTAAAACTAAAAGTGGATCTCGATGACATGTTAAAAATAACACCAAAAGTTCCATTTGATTGCATCGAGTCTTTTCCTTTTGACGACAAAGACACAAATTGCGTAATTATACCAATGGGTTATGTTAAATGAAAAATTATCTATTGATGGCAATAAAATGTTTTGATGTCTAAATTTTTTTTAGTTTTTTTTATAGACACACATTCAGTCAATTTCCTTAAACAACATTTATTTTCATATTACTTAATTTTATTCTTTGTTGGAATTCAATCAATCTCTTAATACTCAATCTTTCCAATAGTGATGTAAATAGAGTTGATGGTTGATTGGTTGGTAAACGAAGCTAATCCGTGTTACGGTAGATCATAATTTATATAAGAATTCATTTAAATATATTAAATATATTTAAATGATTTTTCTGTTTTGCTAAATCTTTTTATTATATGTTTTCTTATATCAACTTATTTCACACAATTGTAAAAAGAAAAGTGTACCATATTTGTTTCACTGGTTGAACATTTTAATTTCAAGCTTCTGTAATTTTTTTTTTTATATATAAGTGTAGTATGTGTCTTGTATTAAATATATTCGTTTTGGTTAATATTTATTCGTTTGTAGAATAAAAAAAAAAAATTTCAAAAAATGAAGTAAGGTTTTTATTAAAAGTTCTTTTTATGGTAACGCGCGAGTGTTAAAACAGTATGTTAATAGCAATGATGTATGTGTGTGTGTCTATATTTTTATGTCTAACTTTCTGGATTTTATTGAACGAAGAGTAAAGCTTTTTTTTTGTTTGCAAATTTTGTTCGCTATTTGTAATATGAGCAAAAGCTAAAGCCGGTTTACGGAATAAAACTTTAAAATGCATTTTGTGAGCATCTAAAGTTCCCAATAAATTAGATATAAATAAAAAACTCGTTTTAATAATTACTTTGAAATTTTTTATTTGAGTTTTTTTTTAATTAAGTTTTTAAAATTATAATTTATAGAAATGCTCCAAAAGTCTGTCTCACTTATTTATTGAAAACTTCATTCCCTACCTAATTAGACAAAAATTTAAGAAACAAATTACTAGTTTTACTAATTTTCTATTAACATTTTTACATAAATTAAATTTTATATAAAAGTTAAACAACAAAGCCTTATATTAATAGCCTTTACTTGAACAATCGGTAGATTTAATATCAGTGAAAAAAGACAGAATCTTTAAAAATGTAAATCAAAGACCTAGTTTATTAAAATAGAAACTTGTCAAAAAACTATTAAAGAAAAATATAAAAAGGCTTGTTACGATTATAAAAAAATTGCAAAATATAAAGGATTTTACAAACCATTGTAAAAATCAAACGAAATGAGTTTCTTTGTTGTTCTTGATTAGTCTAATAGTTTTTTCAAAACTGCGCTCCTAATTGTGATATAGAATTAAAATTAGCATCAGCACCATCGAGAGTAATGCTATCAATGTCAAAAGAGAAAGACCTTGATGTTTTTATTTTATTTCAATCATTGGTGTCTTAATGTCCCGTTTTGATGTTCTTTAAGACACTGATTTAACAAACAAATACTAACGCTTCTGTAGGTAACCATATGTATAACTATGGCATCACAAGCTCTAAAATTTTTGTCATAATCTACAATATTTTTTCTTTCGTGGTTTTATCAAGTAAGACACTTGATTTTATTTTCATAAAATCTATTAGCAACGTACAATACTTGTAGTTGTTATTAGCAACGTACAATACTTGTAGTTGTTATTAGCAACGTACAATACTTGTAGTTGTTATCAGATTTTGATTTTTCTTGTAGAAAAAAAAAGCGTAAAATAAATCAAATAAAATTTCGTAATAAAATCCGGCTTTACTTTTCGGACATCTAGTATATATTTAATAGTTCATGCATAGAAGATTTTTCAGGTTTAAGAGACATTAAAATAAAGTCTTTTATAGTCTATGCTTATATTTGATGTTTTAATTTTTTTTTGAAAAAAAGTTATAATTAAAAAAACTAAATTGAAGCCATATTGGTAAGAAAAACAACGTGAACTTCTTATCTAAATCAACGGGGCCATATATCAAAGCCGTTAGGTCTTCTCGGAACATTTTAACTACAATAGCTACAAAAAAAACGTTAAATGCAGTCAGTCAGGCAGACAATCTTTGAGAATGTCCTCATATCCTCTTATAAAAATTCTATACTTTCTTTTAAGAGATCATAAAAAAGTTCACGAACTTTAGTTACATCAAAAGTTTATGCTGTCAAAGTTTATTGATAATCAAGCTGAAAAATATTACATTACCCAGAAAACAATTCCTCGTACCTTTAAGAAAAATATTTTCATAAGGTCTTATGTTTCATGAGTTAAGAGGCATCAAAATCAGATTATGCAGATTTCATAACAGGTGTAAATGCAGGATTTTTTGGTATTTGATTTTCGTTACTTCTAGGTAAGTTCAAAACTTTAAACTTTTGTATATGAAATTGAGCTAGTGAGAGCTTGGAAACAAAAATAAAAAGTAAACATAACCCATCAAATTGGGATGAAAATTTTTTTTTGCATCAATTGAGTTTAACTTTATGCCTACCATATTTAAGTCTACGCACATTACAAATACGGGATCGTCCGTAAAGTACGCTCTTTTTCGCGGCGATTTTCATTGAACTTAATGAACTATGTTGAATTTTTATTTAACTTAAGGTTCTGTGAGGAAAAACTTTCGATCTTTTTTGTTTTGTGTATAAGTAAAATTTAGCGTTGCGTAATTTACGGACGATCCCTAAACATCAACGGAGTATCGATAATATTCTAACAAACAGTTCTTTAAATCATGTTAATCCCAGCGGGCATTTGTTTTTAAAAATTATTTTAAATGTCTTTTAAACGTCTTCTAAACATTCTTACGTAAAAAACGTTTAAAAGACGTTTAAAAGACATTTAGAACGTAACTTTTAAAAACAAATGCCCGTAGGGATGTTTAATTATATAAGAGATCTTCAAAAAATTGTATGGGAATAATGTTGATAAATAAAAAAGCAATTTTTTAGATCATACTAGTTTTTAGGCTTTACTACATATAAATTTTGAAAAGATATAGGAGTTAAGTTTATCTTACATTTAAATATAAGGCAAAGAACATTAAAAACATTTAATTGGTATTTATTAAGAATATTCATTTCGAATAAAAGAGCATGAGTATAACGATCTTCAAAGTATATTAGACGTGCTAAATCTTTTTGTTGGCAATAAAGAGGATCTAATTTTCTAGCAATATTTGCATTGTTTACATAGCATTGTATATGTGAGTAATAAAGTTGAATTAATGCATGTTTATTTACAAAAATTCTTGCTTTGTATAATATTGCGATACTTTTTGAAACTTTGTCGTGCAAGATTTCAATATGATTTTTTCACGTGAGATTTTCATCTATTAGAACACCAAGAAAAGAATAACTTTATATTTGAATATCATCATATATATTAGAGGCATATCATATGTCCCATTTAGTTGTTTTTATGTTCATTGATAGTTTATTTGACTTGAACCGTTTTGAAATTTTAATAAGCTTGGTTAATAAGTGGTTCATGCCATTAAACAGTGTTATGAGATTATTACAAGACAGAAAAAAGTTTGTGTCATCAACAAACATTGCTCTTTTTAAATTTGAGGCATTATAAAAATCATTAATATAAATGAGAAAACAAAGTGATCCAATTATAGACACTTTGGGGACACCACTTGGTATATCTAGTAAATTTGTCGAGGAGCATACAACAATTTCCACATACTGTTTATGATTGGTTCAATAGCATTTTATTAATTTTAGAAAATTACCCCAGATTTCATAATTTTTAAGTTTTTAAATAAGAACTTGATAATCTATCGTATAAAAAGCTTTTGATAATCAATGAAAACTTCAAGAGTAAATTTTGATTTCTCAAACGAATCTGCAAAATTATTTTTTTTAAATCCAAATTGACTTCTATGTAGTATTTAATTTATAGGAAGATGATCATAAACTTTATTGTAAAAAATCCTTTAAAAAATCTTTGAAAAACCAGGAAGTACAGAAATCCAACGATAATTTGTTACACTTGATAATTCCACCCCCTCCCCCATCCCCTTTTAAACATTGGTATAACTTTGGCAATCTTTAGTTGAACACGAAAATTTCATAATAAAGAGCATATTTTATTATCGCAAATGGTAAATGGTTTTTTATGAAAAATATAAAAAGTCAGTTTTGCAAAAAAGTGACAAGCAATTCTTTTATCAAGCCAAAGAGCTTGATAAAAGAATTGCTTGTCACTTTTATCAAGCTCCAAAGAGCTGAGAAAAAAAACTAGAAGAATAAGAGTTTTTGGAGCACTTAGGACCAGTCACAAAAAAAGGATGAGACTTAATTGAATGACGAGAAACAAGAGAATGAGTTTTAGTAGATGGCACAAGAGACGCTAGCTCTTTAAAGCAGTACCCATTATAGTATTTATAGAAAAGAGAAAGAGAAACAACGTTACGACGATGTGATAATGGTTGGAGAGCCTATGCAAAAACCCATTATAAACTATGTTTATAATGGGTTTTTGCATCTTGTCTAAAAGAAAAAGGGCATCATTAGAAGATCCGCCCCAGATATGGCTATAACTTTATTAGAAAAATGCTATAACTTTATTAGAAATACAAGAAATGGCTATAACTTTATTAGAAATACAAGAAATGTTTATCCTACACAAGAAAGAAATACAATTATTATTTAAAGAACAAGAAAAGGTATTTGTTGGTTTACTTAGCGATAACTTAAAAATACTGAATGCACGCTTGGATAATTTTGAAAAAAAATTATCGGATTACGATAAAAAAATTCGCTTGTTGGAAAACGATGTAAAAGACTTAAAAGAAAGTTTAAACTTTCATGAAAATTTAATAGACCAAAAGATAAAAGCTGCTAAAGAAATTGAAACCCCGAATATTATTAATATTTTAAACGAAAAATGTAGAATCTCCGAAGACAGGTCGAGGAGAAATAACTTAAGGATAGTTGGAATTCCTGAAAATGCAAATGAAAGCTGGGATGAAACAGAAGAAAAGGTTCAAAATTTATTATGCAATAAATTAGGAGTTAAAGGAGTTGAAATTGAAAGGGCGCATCGAGTTGGCCCTAAAAAAGAAGCTCAATCTCGAACCATTATATTAAAATTATTGAGATTCAAAGACAAATCAAACATCCTAAAAGAAACACATAAACTAAAAGGACTAAACATCTACGTAAATGAAGATTTCTCGCAAGAGACGGCAAGCCTTCGTAAGAAGTTATTTACAGAAGAGAAAAAAAGAAAATCAAAAGGAGAAAACGTTATTGTCAAGTATGATAAACTTATTATATTAAAAAAAGGTTTACAATAAGACGAAATGATACTGTTAAAAAACAATTTTAATCTTAATCTTGCATATTTTAATAATAACAATGGCTAACAAATTAAATGCGACAAATTTTTTTGAAATTTTTAATAAACAAAACACAATTCTTTTGAATGATGACATTGATCCAGATGTAAACTTTTTTGAGGACGTCATAATCAACTCAAACTATTTTGATATTGAGGAAGTTTCTAACCTCATGAATGCGTCACAATCTTTATTTTCAACATTAACTTTAAACATACGTAGTATGAGTAAAAACTTTGAAAATTTTAAATCAAAATGCGGATTATGAATCATTAACTATTGAATTACTAAACCACAATAAAAAAAACGTATTAATAACTGCTTTGTATAGACCACCAAGCGGAAATAAAAAATCTTTTCAAAAACACTTAAAATGGTATTTAAAAAAAGTAAAAAAGAAACAAATTTACTTTAACTTAAATCTTCTTAATATTAAAATTGATAACGACGTAAAACATTTCTTAAACTCACTTTTTCAATACAACATTCTTCCCTTAATTAACAAGCCTACTCGTATAACTCTTCTAACTGAATCTCTCATTGATAATATTTTTACTAACATTTTCACAACATGCATTATTCAAAGTGGAATCATAAAAAGCGATATAAGCGACCACTTTCCAATTTTTTTTATATCTGATTTTTATATAAAAGAAAAAAAAAGCAAAGTACTAACGGAAATAAAAAGGCAGATTACTGATTTTAATATCAAGGAATTTAAAAATCATTTACTCAAAGTAAACTGGAAACAACTACATAATTGTAAAGATACAAATAAAGCTCATGCATTTTTTTACGAGTTTCTTAATGCGTACGACAAAGCGTTTCCGATGAAGGAAATTAAAACCAAGTGTAAAAACCTACAAAGTCCATGGATTACAAAAGGACTTATTAAATCTTCTAAGAAAAAACAAAAACTCTATGAAAAATATTTAAAAAAAAAACTTATCAAAACGAAAAAAAAAAATAAAACTTACAAAAACCTGTTTGAAAACTTGAAAAAAAAAGCTAAAAAAAATTATTTCTCAACTTTATTACAAAATAATATTGGAAATAACAAAAAAAACTTGGGATATAATAAAGGAAGTGATAGGAAAAGAAAAGAAAACTCGTGGTAATTGTTTACCGAAATATTTATATACTGAGGATGAGAGAACAATAACTAGTGAAAAAAAAGATATTGCAAACAGTTTTAATAACTTTTTTATAAACGTGGGTAAAAACCTAGCAAACAAATTAACTCCGGGAAAAAAAAATTTTAAATTATATTTAAAAGAAAAGAACTATGTAATGGATGAGCTTGAGGTATCGCCTGATGAACTTCGGTTTGCTTTTAATATGATAAAACCAAACAAAAGCGCAGGCCTTGATGGTATAAGCCCTAAGGTTGTTAATGAAGTTTTTGATATTATAGAGAACCCCTTACTTATTATTTTGAATCTTTCATTTAAAAATGGCGTTTTTCCTGATCTCTTTAAGCTAGCGAGAGTAGTTCCAATAGTTAAGGATGGTGATACCTTAAAGTTATCTAATTACAGACCTATTTCAATACTCCCATGTTTTTCTAAAATTCTAGAGCGAATAATGCATAATAGACTTTACAACTTACCTCACAACTTACAAAGTTTTAAATAATAATCAGTACGGATTTAGAAAAGGACACTCGACAGAACATGCAGTAATTAAATTAGTTAAAGAAATATTAAATGGGTTTGAAAACAACCAATAAACTCTTGGAGTGTTTATTGACCTCTCTAAGGTCTTTGATACTGTGGGCCATGATATTCTTCTTTACAAACTTTAAATTTATGGAATCAAAAATAATAATTTTAAATGGTTTTGTTCCTATCTAAAAAATCGCAAACAATGCGTATCTTATGACAAAACCTACACTAAATTAGAAAACATTACCTGCGGAGTTCCACAGGGATCTATTTTAGGGCCTTTGTTGTTTATTATTTATATCAAAGATATTTGCTTATCATCTAGTATACTAAACTTTAATCTTTTTGCTGATTACACTCATGTTTTTTATACTCACTCAAACATTAAGACAATCTTTACCACTATGAATAGTGAACTTGATAACCTTAATGAATGGTTTAAAGCCAACAAACTCTCTCTGAATCCTACTAAAAGCAAATATACTCTCTTTTCTAAATCCTCTAAGTCTGAAACGCTGCCTTTAAAACTCCCAGATATTTTAATAGAAAAAACCAAGTTACAACGGACATACTGCGTTAAATTCTTAGGCGTTTTAATCGATGAGCAAATAAATTGGAAAGAGCATATTAATCTAATAGAAAATAAAATTTCAAAAAGTATTGGAATCATGTATAAAACTAGATATATGTTGGATAAAAACTCTTTAAAATCTGTTTACTTTTCATTTATTCATAGCTATATTCGTTATTGTAACATTGCTTGGGCAAGCACTTATCCGTCAAGACTAACTTGTATTTTAAAAAAACAAAAACAGGCAAGCCGCCTTATATTAAATGTTAATAAATACGCTAAACAATCCACTGCTTCGTAAGCTTGGAGTACTGAATGTTTACCAATTAAATATCTATAATATTCTTTTATTCATGTTTAGATTAAAATATCATATGCTACCTAATATTTTTGAAGACCTTTTCTTTATTATAGATCATAAATATCATACAAAGCATTCATTGCTTAATTATCAGGTACCAAAAACTTTGTTAAAACAATCTGAATTGTTAATAATTTACCGAGGGCCACATTTGTGGAACTCATTTCTCCTAAATAATAGTAAAACTACAGCTTCAATCTAAACTTTTAAAAGTATCTTAAAAAACAGTTACTTGATTATGACGTATCTCAAATATTATTTTATTTCTAATTTTTATTTTGTCCTCTCTTATTTTTATTTCGTTAACTTTTCTTTTTGTTTAAAAAGCGGCATCACACTTTATATCATTACTTATCTTTATATTTGTATTGTATTTGGGAAAGAAAAAAAAAAAAGTATTTAATATTATTTTACTGAGATTGTAATATATATAAACATGTCTATGTGTATATGTGTATGTGCATGTGTATATATGTATATGTATGTATGTGTACGTGTATGTATGTGTATGTGTGTATAAGTATGTATATATATTTTCTTATATGATGGGTAATTTTTTTTTTTTTTTTTTGGTTTAATATGTAAATGATACAAAGGGGCTGGATGATAAGACTTTTGTCTTCTGCCTGCTCCTGTCATATCTTAACTCAAAATGTATATATTGTAAATAATTTATTATAAATATAACGAAAAAAAAAAAAAAAAAAACAATTATGGCAACAGCGTTCTATATAAGGACGGATTTGAGATTTATAGAGATGAACAATAGAATCCGGAGTAAGAAAGCGCCGAGGTCGATAAAGAGACGCAATCTTAGCAGGTGGTAATTTTGCAATCGATTTGATATATAGTAAACATACTTATGACTATAATTTGTTTTAATTTTGTTATTATTATCTATCAATATTATCTTATATTATTATCATAAATTATTGTTATTATTATTAACAAACTTGTAAAAATGATTTAAGAAAAATAAATATCAAAACTACGATGTGTTTTAACAAACTTTAAATTTAAGATTTCGTTAATTTTAATCATTTCGTTGATAAAAATAGTTCGTATTAATCGTTTTGGTATGAAAAATTCAGAATTTCGTCATTCTATTTTTTAACGTTGGTTAACCTAATATTTTTCATAAATACTATTTAGTGTTTCAATTCAATCTACTTTAATATTAAAGCCATATTTGATGCATTTGATGTTGCCATATTAATATGGCAACATCAAATGCATGTTTATGAAACCCAAGTGTTTGATTTGCTTTATTTGCAATACTAATAGCATAATTTTTTTATTTGAACTCATTTGATAGTGAAACACCTCTGTCATATTCAATTTCTAACTTTTGCAAAATATGATCTTCTGATTTGGAGAAATCAATTTATGATTATGCATAACTTTGCTCTTATCTTCATTGAACTCAATCGACCACTTATTTGACCTGTCTAACAACATATTTAAGTCTTCTTGAAGAGCTTTCTTTACTTTTATTAATAATTGCTGGCGTAATTTTTGCACCATTTGCAAAAAGTCCTAATTTATTTAGTATATTACTTTTTAAGTTATTTATAAAAATTACAAATAGGAGTGAACCAGGAATTGAACCCTGAGGTACTCTACTTATAACTTCATCCCAACTTGAAAGAAACTCACCCAGAATAACTCTTTGTTTTCTATTACTAAGGTATGTTAAACACGATTGTAGAATATGAGTGGAAACTACAATCATAAAGCTTGTAATATAATTAAGATAAAGAAACGAAATTTGGTTCAAAAATAGCCTCTAATTATTACATTGATGCTAATAATAGCTTCAACTTCTCTTGTAATAAAATCAAAAGTTTCAAACAAATTTAAACAATTTTTACTATTAATAAAACTATGCTGTTCATTTGGAATTGATTTATTTTTTACTTTTCTGTGTTGTGCTGATGTCGGGTTGGATGTTAAGAAAAGTTTATTAACAAACTTAACAATATTCAAGGGAAATTGAACATATATATATATATATATATATATATATATATATATATATATATATATATATATATATATATATATCTATATATATATATATACTGATTAACAACAAAAAATATGTTATAATTTATAAACTCAAGGTAAGTGAAATTCAAACCATTTAAATAATTTTTCAATTTACAATTGCAAACCAATTAGAAAAATTTAAAAGTAGCATCATATAAAATAAAAATACTAAATACTGAAAACAAAAAAACAATTATAAAAGATGAGGAAATATCTAAAGTTAAATTTAAAGTCTAGTGAGTTTCTAAAAAAGAGGTTCCTTCTCCTTTACTCATAACGCGAATGTGAAATTCTTTCATGGTCTTTTCTAACTCTTCTTTGTTACCAGAGAAATAAGCAGCTTGGGCATTATGCAGAATTAAAAGCTGCTTTCGCATGACCTTTACCTAAACAATGAATAAGATATTTTAAATATTATATAGTATAAGCACAAATATATATATATATATTATATATATATATATATATATATATATATATTGATATTCCAAGTTTAGCACAGATCTCTGATCTCACTCACTAGTACTAACAAGCAAGAAGCATACTTGCTGAATTCTGTTTTTTTTTTAAAACTAAAAAAAGCAAACTTAAACAGTCTTTAAATATCATACTCCAATTCTAGTTTCTAGCTTTACTTGTTTCTTTCTAGTAATCTTATATATTTCGAGTTACCCTTATATATTTCTAGCAATCCTTATATCTCTAGCAATCCAAATATATGGCCTAGAAATCTTCCATCAGTCAGAAATCTGGTATATTTGATTAATTTTCCGCTATCACTACACTTTAGACTGCTACATCTTGTGCACAGTGAGAAGCTAAGATATGTATATTAAACCAAGAAATATATACTTTACCACATTTTATTTTTGATATCTCGCTTAAATAGACAGATTAACAGCACTTTGACTAGATCTTATAGTACAAAATATATAGATATAGAATATATAGATATATAATATTGTTGCTTTGACAGCAAGTTGTGAACTTACAAAAAATATTGTGTGAACTAAATTAAATGATGACACACTAAAAGATATGCAAATTAAGCTTGTCTGCCTGTTAATTGAAGACTTTTTGCCCCTAAAATATGTAAAAAATTGAATTGACGCAACTGTTAGTGAAATATGTTTTATTATATTGGGATTTAGTTTGGATTAGTTTAGACAAATAGTAGTAGTAGAAGAAAACTTGCAAAATTGAAAATTGTTATACAAGTATAATACAGAAGAACAGATTAAAAGTTTCTATTCAATTTCACATTCCAAAAACAAACAAAAAACCAGCAGTTCTCATCATACTTTAAAACTTCACTGCACCAACGACAAGGAAGCAAATTTATTGATTGCGCGCATATTTTTTTGTCTGACCGATCAAAATACACTGTTTTTTTTGCTAATAACATTTACAACATTTTCTGACTTTAAAAATAGTAAAAAAAAAAAAGTTTTATTATTGAAGCTATTATTCACGAGTTAGACAGTAAATAATGATATGAACATCAACAATCATACTAAAAAAACAGATTTGTTGAGTCCCTAGATATATAAAATACTAGATACAGCACAGACAAGGATAATCGAAGATAGAGAAATTTTGCTATGATGATTTAGAGTATGGCAAAAAAAGACAGTTTAATTAGCATATTTACTGCACACACTTTAAAATTTTATTTCAAGTTATAGATAAGTCATAAATAAATAATATAAATTTTAAACTCAGTTAAACAAATTAAATTTAATTTTATTCTAAACTAAAAAAATTTTAAATGAAGAAAGAAAAAAAAAAAAAAAAAAAAAAAAAACTTTTAAAATATTCTGCAATGCAAACAATGATAATGAGTTAACTCATAAACTTGTATAATGTAAGATTCATATTTGAGTTTTTAGCAAACTAACAATGAATAAAAAAAATGCATCTATATTTATGTATAATATATTTATCTACAATAAATATCAGAGTCATGGTTACGCTAATCCACACATTGGGGTGAGGGGCAGCAAATTTAGGGGGGGGGGGGGAGGTGGCCTCTGAACAACAAGCCACTGCACTAATATATATATATATATATATATATATATATATATATATAGATATATATATATATATATATATATATATATTATGTACTATATATTTAAAGTTTTGATATTAGTTTTTAAATGGTAATTTGTGTAGTGCTTTTGGATCTGAATATATATATTTATATTTGTATTAAATCATTTATATTTTTGATAAACTATTTTTTATATATATATTTTTATCATATATTATTATTTATTACTACTAATATTATATATTAGGGACTGTCCATAAATTATGCAACACTAAATTTATTTAAAAAACAGAAGTAGGAGATTTTAAGCACTTTATCTGCTTTAGGGAAAACATTTTATCTTTTTTGTTTTGTTTATTAGTGAAATTTAGCATTGCGTAATTTATGGGCAATCCCTTATTATAAATATCATTTATTATTATATATTTTTAAAATTGTTATTATTTTATATATTTTGTATTAAATAATTTGCAAAAAAAAACTTGATAATGTCAGACATTAACACTTGTCTTCCACATCCAGACACTCTGAGAAAATAGTAAAGTATTAATCAGTAAAGGGAAAAAAAAAAATTAGTATTAATCAGCAAGGCTTTATTTACCAGTTTTGTTCATTTTAAGTCCTTATAAAAACAATTACCTTGATCCAAGAAATCAAATTATATGTCAATATACGATATTATCATTTTGTATAATAAATATTATACAAGCTCATATAATAAATTTTCTTTAAATTTATTAATAAAGATTAACCATCTTTAAAAGTAATGTATGCCATGTAAATATATGACAGGGCTCGAATTAAGTGATTGGAAATTGCAATATCTGGAAATGCTTCCAGACTTAAACTCTGACTTTCTTATTTTGATCACTAAATTCAATAGCTGTTATCAAATAATGAATATTTATATGGAACTTAAGTTATGATATAAAATCTTATTATAAAACCATATTACTACTATTATTTTTATTATTAATAAAAATTATGATTTAAACTTTAATATTTTAATTCATTTTATAAATCATCAGATAAAACTAGAAAAATAAAGCACAATAAAGTAGGATATAATTATCAAAAAACAACCATTAATCACAATAGTCTAAAACTCTTTTGCAGACATATATACAAAATTAAAGGTTTAAAATAAATAAAAACTAATTTCAACTTTTTATAGTTATTTAAAAACAACTCTAACTTAATTTGAAACACAGTAGAATCTTGTTAACTCGAACTCTGAACAGGTATATATATTTTGTCCAACTTAGCAAATGTCCGAGTTAAGTGAAGCTTTTGGTATGTATAGAGAATTTAAGGAGAATTGAAAATTTTTCTGACTTAAAAAAAGTCTGACTTATCCAGGGTCCGAGTTAATGGAATTTTACTGTGCATCTTTATTATTATCATTTTTATTATCAATAATATAATTTTAATTTAAAACATCTTAATATTTTAATAAATAATTCCTTAAACTTTCCCCCTAAACAAAAATTGATTTTAATGTTTTATACAATGCGCAAATAGCTTTAGCATTATTTTTTATTGGTTGGTTATTATATTACCCTGCAATTTTTTTGGAACTTTAACAATAATAATTTTTTTCTTATAACTATTTTTTAATTATAATTACCTGGTTTTTCAAAAAACATTAATTAAAATTATGTAAATTTTGTCTGTTACTATTTTTTCATTTGTAAATTTATTGTTTTGATTTTTCATTAAATTTTGTATTATGGTAAATTGACTGTTTAATTAAAACATTGTTCACGGTTTTTAATAAATTGAGAATTTAATGACCAGAAATATTTGTAGATATTGTAATTTGTGATCACTTAATTCGAGCCTTGTATGATATATATATAATATATATATAATATAAAGCTATATTATACATATGTCATATTACATATTGCATAAAAACATTTTGTCTCACTTAATGTCATTTTTTCAGAATTCAAAAATTCAGAAATCCAGACATGCTGTCTCCAGTTTTTTATATATCAAAGGTCGAGCCCTATTTTACAGGACATTTTAAACTTTGATTTATTTTATTAAATATTAGACAATCAAAATTTCCTAAAAATCCAAGAAATATTATCTAATATTTATAAAAAAAAAAAAAAAAATCTAATATTTAAAAAAAAAAAAGAAAAAAAAAAAGTACCTTATTCTCTTCTAAAAACTTCATTTTAATTTGTAAATTATTGCGCAATGATTCAAATTTGTCTCTTTGAATGTAAAACTCTTTTCTAGCTTCTTCCGTTTTGAATGATTGACCTTGTGCTTCATAGGCTTCCAAATCAGTGCGATATGCATCATATTCAATTCGTGCACTTTCATAATCACGAATCGTCATAATAGTATCATCAATAGTTTTTCCTGATAATGTTTGTAGATTTTCAGTAAAAAAGTTAAGTGCAGAAAGCAAGGTATCTCCACTTTTTGAAACTATTTTCTGCAGTTCTGCATTTTGATTAAATTCATCCTGAAGGTCTGGAGATTTTATGCTTAAGTCAGTTAAGGCCTCTCCTAATAACTTTTGTGTGACTAATAGATTACTAAATTGTGAAGTAAGTTGTTTTGATAGTTTTAATAAGTTAGCATAACGTAACTGTGTTTCTCTCAATGCTTGTATATGTTTTTCCAATTCTGTATCAACAGTTCGAGCTCTTCTACCCATCTTTTCTGATACCATTTGTTTTGTGTATTTATAAGTTGAAACAGTCCATTTCTTTAAAGCATCAATCTTGGCTCCAGCTTCTATACCTTGAACAACTTGTTGGGTTCCATTTATTGAGGGCATAGCTTGTCTTGTATCAAGTTGATTAGTATATGAGTTTGTCTGGTTGTAAGATTTGTTTTTATCTGATAAACTATTAGGAGTAGCTGAAAAAAGAATAAAAAATATTATTTAATAAACAAGAAAAATAAAAAATAAAAAAATAAAAAAAAGAAATAGTTAAAAAAAAAAAGGTAAAGATTTTTATCAGATTTTTCATAAATTTAAAAATTTTGAAAATTTTTTACAATTTTATTTTAACTTTTAATGGTCACACAATAACTTGTAGCTTAAATAGATAAAAACTATTGTCAAAAAAGCTTATTGATCATACAAGATCTTTTTAGAAATTTGTGATTTCAACTGTTTCCTCACTTGTTTTTCCTGCGATGTAACAAGCTGGCTGTTCTTATCAAAACTAAAATCCACAAATATAAAATGAAAACAATTATTTAAATCTTTTATCAACTTCTCTTATTTATTATTAACTCTCTTATTTACAACTTATTTTAAATAATAACAATGAAAATTTAACAACTGGGAAATATATTTCTTTGCTGGAAATGATAGAACAGTATAGGATGATTATTCACACTGGTATGAACTTCATTTGTTCACTATCACTTTATTAAAAACAAAATATCTTTCAATTTTTTATGAAAGCTTTAAAGAATCTGCTATGATTGCAATTGAAAAATATTTTATTTAATTTAAACCTAAGATGTTCTAGTTTCTTCTTCTATAAAGAGCAACCTAATACTAGAAAAAAAGTTAGATTATGGCGACAGACATAAATCAACTGCACAATATTAGATATAATAACAGCATTATTATGACAATGGTTTGCCCTCTCAGAAACTTTGTCAAAATGCAAGTTTATTTGCATACTCAAATATAAGATACTTTGAAAAAGTTTCAAAAAATAAAGAACATAAATCACAAGGCTTACAAAAACAAAATATTTGAAAATGCTGCTTCTGCAAGAATTATATTAAGTATAACTTTGGCAATGAACTTCATGCTAATAGCGGGGAACTGATTGAAATAAATGATTTTTAAATAAAAAATACATTGGTTAAAATTAATTAAATCCAATCCCCTTAACTGTTACCTTATATTATAAACTCACTTTCCTCAATAACAATGCAACGAACATTGACAATAAATTGAAACAAAGGCTATATTTTGTAATTTTTGAAGGTTTAGTGTGTATATATATATATATATATATATATATATATATATATATATATATATATATATATATATATATATATATTATATATATATATATATATATATTATATATATATATATATATATATATATATATATATATATATATATATATATGTATATATATATATATATATATATATATATATATATATATATATATATATATATGTATATATATATATATATATATATATATATATATATATATATATATATATATATATATATATATATATATATATATATATATATCAAACAACACAACATCATAACGTTTATCAATTTAGCAATTGTTTCTTTACACAAGAAAATAACAACTAAACTTTTAAGTAATGTGATACGTGATCATATCAAATAAATATATAAATATATATATTACTACGACGAACAAAATGAAACACCTGCAGGTGAACTAATTGGTACATGGTGTTGGAATGGAGATTCATTTTCATCAGATCTGAGTTCCAATCGACCAGAACTAAATGAACGATGCGATTGTAAATCAGTGGCTTCTTTTAGCATTTCCTCAAGACTTTGAGAAGGGTCCGCGGAATCCAGAATAGCTGTTTCACGGTCGAAACCGTTGTACAAACCAGACGATAGTTTATCGCCGCCTGTCTTTTCGTTAAAATTACGAACATCCATCTTTTTATAAATCGGTCAAAAAGTTTAAATGCCAGACTAATATTAGAGCATTTGATCAATTGATTGGTTGGTTTCTATTTTTAAAAACAACTTCCGAACGTGAACTTAAAAAGAAAAATGCGGACGTGGTCGCGTTTTTAAATGCCGTGGAATTTATAAAGAGCTTTTAACTATAATTGCTCAGATAAACAATTTAAAATTGAAAGTATAACAAGTTATAAACTTTGTTGAAAATTATGTTAAAGTCCTTTAATCTAAACTTTTCACATAAGTAATTGATGAAAACAGCATGCATTAAATTATATTATCTAATTTAGCTAAATATAACTATTGTCAAAAAATTAAAATAATCAAACTATGATTCAAACATTTATGTTGCGCAGCTTGAAAACTAAAATTTTAATCAAAAATATTAAAACTTTAAAAAAAACCAGAACTTACAGTTGCATCTTACTAAAGCAGAAATAAGTGGCATAACAATTTAAATGACTTAATCAAACGTAAACTTTACCTTTAGTACTGATCATTCTCGCCCTGATCTTTTTTTTATTTTGTAAACATCCTTGAGCATACTTGGTTGCGATTCTGCATGTTTTTTTATTTGCTTCTATATTTGATTTGGTTTTTTGTGTTACGAAACTTGTTTGCTAATAATTAATACAAATTTTCAAAAATAAACAAAAAGAAAAAGAAAAAAAAGTTTTAAACGTTACAACGCTAACTTTATCTAAATGTTAAACGCTCTTAATATAATTTAATCCGCTTCGTTTTAGATTTAAACTTTTGTTTTGTTTTTTAATAGTAGTAGAGTTAGGAGAGGAAGTGTAAAGGCCAATTTTATTTAATTTTTATCTAGATTGTTCAATAATAGTTTTATCCAAGTTATGAAATGTGATCAATATGAACAAATTTTCATCGTTTCTTCTAATTACATTTTTCAAGGCCATAGTATTTGAACGCTTATTGTATGAAATTTAAAATTTATCGATTTTAAATTGATATATTTCGATATATCGATAAATTTGTTATCGATTCATCGATGAAAACAAATTTTTTTGAAAATAGTAAAAAAAAAATATATTTTATCAACTTGTTGTTCTCACGTTTGGGGCTGTTGTAGCAAAAAATTTAGGGTATTTTGTTTCCAGGCTCCAACCGCCGCAATTTTTGAAAGCATCCTTATTTGACATAAATATAGACATAAAAATATTTGGAATTTGTTTTACGTTTAGAAGTTAGCTCTCTCAAACATCAAAAAATACTGCATTTGCCCCTGATTTTTGAATGCCAATCAAATATTACCAGGATAAGTATCTTCAAGATGGTATCTTGCGTTAGCTTCGGCATTCATTACCTTTTTTAAGATTGTAAATATTCTTTTTTAAGATTGTAAATATTCTTTTTTAAGATTGTAAATATTCTAAAAAAGTTAAGACTTTAATTTATAGAAGGTAAATCCAATTCTAATTTATTACAAACCTCGATAACGTCTGACGGCAAATATTTTTTTTAAATAATGGAGGCTGAATAAGTAAGAATTTCATAAGTACGAACTGACATAAGCGCAAAGCAGTTACAAAAACAGTCATAAGTGCGAACTAGCACAAGTGCGAATAGGAACAAGTGCACCAAAAGAATTTTCAAACATTGGCGTAGTGACAAAATACATAAGTGCAAACTGTCCTAAGAGCAAATCAGTAGCAAAAACTGGTTTAAACGCAAACTGCCATAAGTGCGTCGAAAGAATTTGCAAACATTGGCATAAGTGCGAACTGGCATAAGTGCAAACAGGTATAAGTGCAAACTGGCGAACTGTGAAGTGCGTCCAATAAATTACCAAACATTAGCACAATTGCAAATTGGCATAAGGACTTGCACTTATGCTAGTGTTTGCCAATTCACATTTACTCAAATGTTTGCAATTTCTTTTGACGCCCTAATGCCATTTTTTCAAGTTCTTTTGGCGCACATATTCCAGTTCACACATATGTCCATTTATGTTCTGCATTTATGGAGATTCGCATATATGCCATTTGCGCTTATGTTAATGTTTTCAAATTCTTTCAGTGTACTTATGCAAGTTTACACTAATGTCAACTCACGCTTTTGCCAGGGTTTGCAAATTTATTTAGCGCGCTTATACCAGTTTACTTTTATCCAAATTCACGCTTATGCGAAAGTTTGAAAATTCCTTTAACGTACTTGTGCCAGTTTGTACTTATGACGATTCGGTTGGCACTTATGCCAATTTACACTTATGCTAACATTTGCTAGTTCACACTTGCCAGTTTTTGCAATTGCTTTTTATTAATCCCAATTTGCACTTATGCAAATTCTCACTAACGCCAGGTCTAACATATTCCAGTTTGCACTTTTGCGAACTGTTATGAAATTCGCTGTTTTAAACTTCTTAATTATTCAGTCACCCCGTTATAATGTATGCTATGTTTTAGGTTGTCTAATTAAATATAAATAATCTATTATACCTAGAGCCGCTCTTTAAAAGTTAGATTTAACTCCGTAATAAATTAACAACAAAGGTCGATAAATAAAATTAAATAGAAATTTATTTAAACTTGGATTGTTTTCGACAAATTTATCTTGTGTTACTTTATTGCAATACTTAAGTAAATAACAAAATTGAGTAAATAGTTCTGAGCAAAAATTGGCAAATAAGTCGACGCGTAAAATAGCATTCCCAAAACAATCGCGAGAAAAAAAAATGTTCCGCATCAATCAAAATTCAACAATCTAGCTCGTTATCGACAAGTTTTTTACGCACATATGGCCCTAGGTATAAGAAATGATGCCTCACGAAAAGTGTCATAAATTAATAAAATCCAATTAAGAGGAAACTTATTGAATATCGTATTTAGTACTTAACTAACAAACAATATAATATACAAGAGTTTATAGAAAAGCATTTTTTCTAGTATATAATTTTTTTTGGCCACTTTTTATGTCCAAAATTTTTTTAATTGGTCTAATATTTAAATAGATGATAGGTTTCAGTATATTTTTTTATTTTTAGTTAAACATTTTTTTACAACTTAATTACAACTTTTTACAATGATAGAAAATATGACAAGTATAAACAAAGTATCTGAAAGAAGATCGCAAAGATTTTGTTGTCAGAACCTATAGTATATAGCAGAAGTATATAGAATGTGAAAATAGGATTGACTCAAAAATAAATACTTTTTTTCATCTTGCGTTTTTTTTTTTTTTTTAATTTTATTTAGGTGCCCAAGAGGTCCTTATGGTCTTATCACAGAGCACCGCGGATGAGCATTTAATTGGAAGTTTACACCTCCTTCCTAACCAATGTCGCAAAATTTGCCCAGAGGTGGGGTTTGAATATATATATATATATATATATATATATATATATATATATATATATATATATATATATATATATATATATATATATATATATATATATATATATATATATATATATATATATATATATATATATATATATATATATATATATATATATATATATATATATATATATATATATATATATATATATATATATATATATATATATATATATATATATATATATATATATATATATATATATATATATATATATATATGTATATACCATTGGCCATAAATTAGAGCTCACTTTTTTTAATATCCTGATTAAAATTATTTTGAAAACTATTTAAATATTTTTATACATTTTGTTAGTTTTAATTAATAAGCTGTTTGACACTATTTAATTGACAGGTTGTTTCCATAAAATTTATATTTAACCCTAATTATATGTAACTTGATAACATCTTATACATCACTTTGAATTTTTTTATTGGCCAAAAGTTAAGGCTTTCGACCAATAAAAAAAAGCAGCTTTTCCAGCTGTTTTATTTTTAAAATTAATGTAATAAAATTATGATTTTTTTTTATTGATAATTTTGATTTAATTTTCATTAGCATTTATTAACCCTTTTTTTATTTTTACTTTTATTTTTAATTGTTAAACTTTTTATTTTCAATTTTGAAATAATACTAAATAAAACAAAAATAAACTAGATAATCTCTAAAAAAATACATTACCCTATTTTTCTTCGAAACCAAGAACTATCACATCGTCAAACAATCAATATTATTCAGCTGTTGTACATATTTTTTAAATACTGAAACAGGTGACATTAAGGATCGGGGACAATCTGGTCGGTTCACTATAAAACGCGAAGAGATGAACATTTATTAATTTGCTTAATGAAAAATGACAAAAAATTATCTTCAAACGCTCTCTGCCATAAATTAAACTTCTGGAATAAATGTGAGTGCAAGAACTTTTCAAAGAATTCTACATCAAAATAATTGTTCAAGTTTTTCAAACTGTTCAAAGAATTTTTCATGGAAATAATTACGCGTGATGATCTGCATGCAAGAAGCCAAGACTATCAAACAAACAGCAAAAAGCAAGGATTGCCAGGTGCAACGGACATAAAAGTTTGCTTAATTTCAAGTGGTAAAAATATTATAATCTCAGACAAAATGAATGTTGAAGTAGATATGCAAGAATTTTGTGTTATACTACGACAATCACCTCAAGAGTGATTTGAGTTAACTGTACATTAAAACGAACCAAGCAAGGTAGTGGCAGTGTAGGCATTTGGGCCTGCGTGAATTATGCAGCACTGATACTATCAATTATTTGAAGATCGACTTAATGCTGATAGATATATTGAAACTTTAGAACTACCTTCTCTCAAACAATATATTTAAAAAAATACAACAGCAAAACCATATATCAGCAAGATGATGCGTTGTGCCAATTTGCAAACTATGCAAACAATGGTTTATTTATTATATAAACCAAGACAACCAAATTTTAAAAACATCATGGTCTGGTAACAGCCCTAACTTAAATTATATAGAAAATTTATAATCATGGTTAGATCATCTCTTGAAAAAATTGAAGTTTCAAATGTTCGACAACTAAAAATTGAAATTGCTAATAAATGGAAATTGCTTGACAGTGTGCCTAAAGAAACACCTCAAAATCTTGTATATTCGATGCTAAAGAGAGTAAATTAAAGCTTATTAGAGAAAGTGT